GAAAGACTGCTGAACATGTCACGTCCCCCTAACGATTTAGTCTGTTAAATCTTAGAAACTGAATTCTTCAGCACAGTGTTCTATGCAAGCCTGTGTTTTTAATGTTTTCGTGCTTTTGAACTAGTTAGGAAAGCATGTGCTGCTTCCTTTGCCTTGTCATAAAAGTTGGCCCAAAAAACTAAAGTATTTTCTTAAGAAAAAAAATTCCCTGTCCCTTAAAACTCCTGTTTTCAGTGCCCGCCATAGAATACTTTGGTTTATTCGTTTTTTTTTTCACCTTCCCTTTTGGCTTAGATGTTTGTATTTATATGTTTTTCTTTCCTCTGCTGCTAAATATCTGAAGGTCACTAGAAATTGGTGAAATAGGCTCCACCTTGTGACTGTCAAGCTGTCTAGAATTTATTTTGGACCCCTGGATTTCAGAATAGATGCAAAACCTTTTAAAACGGTGAAAAGCAAGTGCTGATAGATAACAGGCTGGTAAAGAGAAGAAAGATGAGCCGGGGTCCACACTTACAATCCTAGGTACTGCTCAGGAGGCTGAGACAGGAGGATCGAGAAGTCAAGGCCAAGGAGGGAAACTTAGCGAGATTCTATCTCAAAATAAAAATTAAAAAGAAAAAGTCAAGGGTTACAGCTCGTTGGTAGACTATGGCTGAGTTTGTCTGCATTAATACACACATGGATAAATACGAAAATATAGGAAAATGCAAGAGTGAAGCTCTCTTTCTATAAAACAAAAAAGCTACTGTAACCCAAGAAGATGCATAACGGGATAGTTGTTTTCTTCCTGTAATGTGCCTCTGTGGCTCGCAGTTATCTGTGCACTGGTCCCTCCAGCACATTCCCCTGAGCAGCTACCAGGCCCGACCTCACAGGGCGCTGCACTCACAGGTGTCCTCTTCATTAACGTTATTGTCATTTCATCTTGATCTTTTCGTTTTGCTTCTTCTAGTCAGAAGTTTCGGGTTATCCCAGTGGGCCACTTAGTGGGGTAAAATGTAATTACTGCAGAAGGAGACGCGTGCCCTGTGAAGGGACGCTGTGTGGAGGACACACATCTGTCTCCAGGAGTGCACTGAGGCAGGGCCGCCCGCACTGACGCTCTCCCTCAGCGTGAATAGTGCGTGTTAACGACTGTGCGACACACTTCCCAGGGGGCTCTTGGGTCATTCTTCCAGTTCCTGCCACTGTTACTCACACACACACACAGCTGTGTGCAGGCCGATCAGGTCGTTTCCAGGGCAGCACCCCAAGTCCTGTATCCATCCACAGCTCAGAGGAGCCACAGCGGGACACGAGGCTCCTGGGGGGCTGCTGTGAGATGACAGCTGCTGGCAGGGTGTGTCCCCATTCCCAAGCTCTGAGTCCGCCTCTTGGAGATGTAGGGTGCATTTCAAACCTAGCCAGAAGGTGCATCTTTTCTTGTAAAAGACAGATCAGGTAACGCGCTTTAACGATCAAATGAAAGTCTGTAAAGAAAGACACAGCTTGTATGTTAAATTCCTGAAGAACAGCCCTTAGAAACCCTGTGTGGTTGATTTCCTGGTTGCCTACCTCAGTGATGCGGTAGTGTTTCATCAATTTATCATGCCTTGAAAAAGGTGAGAGTATTCATTTAAAGTAAGACCTCAGAGTAAGAGGGACTGAGCAGCACAGCTGAGGAAGGAGGCAGACAGAAGCTGTGCCGGTTACTCGTAGCACAGCGTTTCATGAAGTTGCATTCTCGTATCCGTACACAGCAGCATTAGGCAAAAGAACTGCACCTGGAAAAGGAGATAAATGTATAGGTTTTAACTCCACCATCAATTCTATTTTTGTTATTTAAAGTTCGTAAAGGTACATGATCCTCCAGTGTCTGTGGAAAAGTCTACCCAGGAGCATCCCCACAGATCTCTGAGCACACTTCGGGTTTTAGTGGAGGCCGCGTCCTCAGATGTCTTGAACACTTCATTGGTTTTATGAAATATTCACAATTTAACAGCACAGAAAGCCAATGCCCTATCAGGCTTTCTGAGAGCTTCTGTTTCCCAGTATATGGATGGAGATGACAATATTTACAAGGGCACTGAGGGCCTGGCACAGGATGGCGCATGCAGATAAGCCAGTGTGGTGGCCGAAGGTCGGAGGTCAAAGGACACACTCCACACAGGTTCCCCCGAGACAGCTCGGAGCTACCTCACACTCTGTGAGCTTTGTAAGAACTGGAATTGGCTGGGATGGGGAAGGGCAAGGCACACCCACTGAGCCACCTGCTAGCAGAGTGTGATTAGAGGCCGCAGTGACCATGGTCTGTAGTCATGGGTGACACAGCCCTGTGCCTGCTCGTTTCATTAATTGCTTGAAAATTTAGAAATACTGCATATGTGAGAAGCTTCAGAGAAACAGAAAACAGCACCGAGTGAGTGCAGAGTCCCGTCTGTACTCCCTGCCCCATGCAGGACCAGGCCTGCTCTGTCTCCTGTCTCCGCTGCTCCCTCGGCATCTTCCTGGAGAGGATGTGAAGCTGCTGCTCACCTGAGCACGAGCCTCCGGGTGGAGTGGAGCCGGAGGGAGGACTGGAGACTGCGCTGCGGCTCTGATGTCTCAGTGCTAACGCCAGGGTGTGAGTGACTCCAGTGTGTTCTCTAGAGCTTCCTCAGAACAGGGGAGGAGGTGACAGTTTACAGAAGAGCTTATCTGCCCTGCAGCTCAGCTCTGGAGGGCTTAAGTTCTCAGTGGGGATTGAGTGGATTTGCAAACAAATCCAGGGGCTGAGAGCCTGTGAACAAAGTCACCCCCACCGACACCTCCTGGACACCTCCCTGGGAGAGGCAGCTCCGAGTGGATTGAACTTTGGCAGCGGTCACAGCCTGGCCTGGGAGCTCTGCTGTCCAGCTTGGGAGCCAATGCCTGGTGAACTACTGCCTGCCAGGGCAGGTGGCTTTCCTCCTTCACTGGGCTTTTTCCTTCTGTCTTTATTGGTTTACTCCTCCAGGGGCTATGAAAGCTGGGGGTCGGGGTAGGCGTGAGCATTTAAGGATTATTTTCTTAAAGGAGTGCAATTTCCATTTGTCGGGTTAAAAAATACAGGTGCAGGGTACGTTCCGATTGCTGCCAACAAATCTGAGGCTGCTAAGTTAGAAATTTCTCAGGGTTACCATTGTGGAAATGGACACTTACTGTCACTGGTGTGTGTCTGAATATTTAAAAGAACGTACATAATTCTGGAATGAAACCATGCCATGCAAAGTTGTTAAAGGAATGTCCTTGGACAAAAATTGTTTAATATGTGTTTATTTATTTAGCAAAATAATTGCAGCTCATACTTTATTCTCTGATGGAGTAAGGCACTAAATCAAAGGCAGCTCCACTGCCTGAGAAGTTTACGTGCACTGAATCAATACTATTCTGTTTTCACTGCTCACCCTCTCAAATATATATAAATATAAGGGAGGAAATTTAAGAAATACCATACATATGTAAAATCATACACAAAGTTAAATTTTTTAACGAGGGCTGAGCTTTATACAACTGGAGAGTTAAAAGGTAACGTGACTAAAAACTGTTTCACTTTAAAAGACATAGAGTAAGGGTCATGCGAAAGACAAAGAAAGAACTTACCTTGCATTTTAAAATCAATTTAAAAATCTGTTACTCCAGTAATTCCATGTTTTCTTGCTGGAGCCCTGCTGTCCTCAAAGACAGAGCTCATTGTTATCTTAGCAGAAGACGGCAGTATTTCTGCCCACTCACTCTGATGTCTGGACTTGTATTCATAAAACGATCCCAGGATGTGAGCATTTAAAGTACGTTATGTCGGGACGAGCCTGTCTTTGAATCTGCGGACATCGGAAACCCCTGCCAGCTGGAAGCTGCTTGAACAGAGACAGTCAGCGAAGAGCTGGATGTGGCCATAAATACATGAACAGTCTGGGCACACTGACTGCTACAGGGCTGGCCCTCACCCAGGATGTGCTGCGTGGTTTTCAAAAGCAAAATGCAATTCCGCGTCTTTGCTGATTACTAGACCTCTTAGCTCTCCATCGGGGATTTAATAACACACAGTCACACCGGCGTGGTGCTGAAGCCTTCCTTGTTCTCACCCCAATTTATGTTAACAGCAGTTTCCTTCACTGTTCTTCATCTGCACTGAGTTCGTCCTGGTGCTTGCCGTGGTTCCGGGTCATCCCACCACTGTCCTTTTCTTTTCCTGCCCAGCGCATGGGCGGCTTCGTGCAGTAGTCACTGCCTGTGACCTGGGATCTACCTGTCTTGCCGGACACGGTGTTGAATCCAGCCCTGCCTTCCCGACGCCTTTCCTCGCTTTCCCCCACAGAGGAATCTCAGAAGAGACTCATCCTCCTCGGCTAGCTGTACCTCTCTAAAGCCTGCTGCCCCTGTCTCTTGCAGTGGTGGTTATTTGTTAAGCATCGAACTGCACTTACGGAGCTGAAGGCAGGGTATTAGTGACACATCCCAGTAAGTGTAGGATGGAGGCGGTAGAGAGGCTTAAGAAGAGATTGAACCTAAGAAAACCAACTGAGAGGCATCACACATTTTGCCATCGTCTTAACCAGCAACCCTAACTGCATCTGTGACAAAATCCTGCTGGCAGAAAAGCCTTCTGTTGGTTCTGATGGTAAAGGTTCACGTGTGTATGGAGCTAGTCCTCAGCGCTCCTGAGTCAGGCTTCACACATTTGCTACACAGGAGTTCGTAATGGTTTAGAGTCACTTAAAGCAGTGAGAAGTGCAGTGTGCAAGGTGTGATATTTTGTTCATTGGGTGCACATGACACATTTTACTAAATGTCAGTGCTTCTACATTGAACCTGTATTGCTCCTTTTGTCCTCGTTTGTTACCAGAAGTGCACAGGTGTGAGCTCCCTGGCTTTGCTCTCGGCTCGTCTTGGTTAGAGGAGTTGGCTCTTGGCAGGGCTCTGCTTCGCTCCCGGCGGTTTTATGGGTGACGGGCTCATGCTGGCAGAATGATTTCTTCACGGCTCTTCTCCCTTTGCAGAACGACGTGGGAGGGCAGCGCAGCCTGATAAACAAGTGGACCACCTTCCTGAAGGCCCGGCTGGTCTGCTCCATTCCCGGGAGTGATGGGGCGGACACTCACTTCGACGAGCTGCGTGAGTACCGGTCCTTCTTGCCGGGAGAGGCCTTACCAGCTGGCCTGGTCCTGCAGTGTGTCTTTTACTTCAGCCCCCAGGGCTGTTTCTGCATGAGCCAGAGTAGCTTGTGAGTGATTCTCACCAAATTCGCACACACAGAGCACACGGGTGGACACAGGGTGCAGCAGCTCCTCTGAGAGCCCCCAGTCAGTGGGTAGAAAACAGCACCCGTGGGGCTTCGCTGAGTGGGCCATGCCTTTGGCGGCGGGGGCAGCTGGGCTGGCTCCAGGAGGCCCTTGCTCGAGCACCCAGACCTGGAGCTCCTCAGCTCTGACTCTGTCTTCCCGGATGTTTGACGACGGCTCTGAGGCTGCTGAGAAGAGGTAGACAGTCGTGCAGTTTCCCCTCACTGCTGTGCTGCTCCTGCAGCTTCCTCGAGAAGGAATCTTTTCAGTGCATACGAAGTTAACACCATGAGCTTTTCTCTTCCCAAACCTGCATGCTCACATCTTAGATAATCTTGTGAACAATATCACCTGCACTGTGAACACTGCACTGATGACCGTGTAGCTTGCAGATGTTGAAGAGGTACAATGTGGCTTTGCACAAAAGGGTAAAATTGTCCTTCTTTGGTTTTTATTTTATGTGGAAGCACATACTCCTAAAAGTATGCAGTTGTGAAGAGTATCAGTTGGATTAACACATTCACAAATGATTGAATTAGGAGAGGTTAAATGTCCAATGTGGTGTCCCGTCGTAAGCGTCCCAGGCACAGTGTGGCAGCTCTGTACTTTAACTGCATATACTGTTCTGCTGATAGAGCTCCAGAAATACTGTGTCAGTTGTATTAGAAAGCAGATATGTGATACTGAAAATAAAATACTTTTTTTTCATTAATAGAAGATATTTATTTACTCCCTACAAGAGATGAAAGAAATCCTGTCATATATGGAGTCTTTACCACATCCAGGTATGTTAACCAAATACTTGCAATATTTTAAACTTTTTTGTTTTGAGATTATTTTGCGGTACTGAGGATTTAAGCCTGGGCCACTCACGTGCTGGGCGAATGTGCCACCATGACCTACACAGCACACTAAAGACTTGCACATGCACATGAGCTAATGTAGTGATATTTTCGCATCCCTTCCTTTGCGGCCCTTGCATACTTTTTTTGTTTCACCAGTCCAGTTAGTGCTCCTTATATTTTTTTAATATCCATGTGGAAACACCCTTGCTGTCCTTGGACCACTTCGGCAACCTCGGAGTTGATAACCACATCTCCCTTAGCAGTCTGCAGTGCTCCCTGTACACGAAGGTGACAGCATCTCTGGTTTCCTTCCTGCTACCAAAGCGTGCCCCATGTGCCCGTGCCACGCACGCTGCAGCCTCCCGAGCTGCGTGGAAGGGAGGCTGTACTACAGAAATGTGTGAAAAGTGGCCAGTTCACCACACAGGCTGTGATTAAACATGACATGGAGTGTGGTCGACTTTTAACGTCTTGTCAGAGAAGGGCGTGTGGCTGCTGTGACACAGTAGAAGACAGTGTGTGTTAACAGTAGGATTAGAGCAGAGTCCTCCTCCCTTCTACCATTCTATCCATGTCTTCTTTCTGCACAATGCCATCCTGTACACTTCCTGAGACTCTGGCACAGCCCAGAGCGCTTCACTAACATCTGTGAAGCTTTCTCAAGAAGACATGGTCCCAGCTCCATCCTCTGACTGCAGTCAGTGATCCCCAGTCCTCAATGAGCAGGGTGTGCCTCTCCTCCTGCAAGTTCTTAGACATGTGTCCATGTACTCCTGAGCCCTGCGCTCAGTCTTTATTGACACTGTTACATTAGTGTCGGCCGATCCAGAACGATGGTGTGAGTGTGGAAGAAAGGGCTTTGCTGTGTCCTTGGGAATAAGTCCTTCAACTAGTTTGAGGCCAATTGTGGTTTAATTTCTTTTCTGTGGCCTGATCCTCATTTAGTTCACAATACCTTATGCATAAACCCAAATTCTCCACTGGTTCAGAATAGATCCGAAAACAAAAGAGTATTTAATTAATAACAGACAGGATGTGGATCTTTCAGTGTGAAATAAGGAAATGCACAGAGAACTTATTTGGGCTCTGCTTTCTATTGGTTTACACTGGGACAGGGGAGGTGCAGAGGACCAAGCGGGCTCCCACAGAGCCTCCCCGTGCTCCTGGCCCCCATCCACGCCCTTTTTAAATCAGTGTGTGTCCCCGACGAGACAGCCGTGGGTGCCAGGGAAATGTAGCCTCAGATAGTGCCTTTCTTTGCTATCGAGTTCCTGCCCACCCAGGGTGTGAAGTACAAGTCAGCTCTTTGTTCTCCGTGTGCTCTGTTGTTTGGTTTCCGGCCACGCGCAGACTAAGCTAATGCTGGTGTGCACGTCCTGCCCTACGTACTGAGCCTGCATCAGGGCCATGCTGTGGGGCAGCGTGAGTCGTGAGCAGATAAGCCACTGGCGGACGTCACACCCCTCCTAGCAGCTGGGTCCTCTGGCTGCCTGCGTCCCGCTGCCTCCTCATGGGCCCGGTTAAGTCACCCCAAGGATGTGATCAGCTGAGCCACTCAAACTGGAGCACTGCGCCTTTGTCCACGACGCACGGAGGTGAAAATCTCTGAGTTCATGAAGGGGGTCTCACGGGTGTGAATGGAATGACTGGGAGGTTTATGTTCAAAGAAAACGTCTCTTAACGTCCCCAGATGAAGCCAGGGCCTATGGGGTGAGCGCTAACCCCGCCCACTCTCAGCTGGCCCAAAGCTGTGGTTCCTGGCACACCTTTCTGGGACACTGCACGCTCAGATGCTCTGCACTCAGCTTCAGAGAGGCTGCCGCAACCCAGAGGCTCACTTCTGGGGCACAGTGACAAAAGGGGTATTTCAACATGTAAAAGACAGTTTAATATCTGGGGATTTAGCTCAGTGGTTTGGCGGCCTGCCATGCAAGTGCAAGGATCTGAGTTAGATCCCTGGTACCAAAAAAAAAAAAAAAAAAAAAAAAAAAAAAAAAGCACGTA